CTCCCCATTTCCTTGTCCCTTTTGATATACACTGTATGTAGTAAAGTAGATTTTATGTCATCAATAAAGTACATGCAAATTTAATCTATTGAGATCTATTACTTGACTAGAGTGTGAATTTTATAAGAACTTTTGAGTATTGAGGAGTTGATGTAGTGCAGATTAAGTCTCTAGCTTAGTGTTTTGATTATAGAAACTCTGAACAGCTCTGATCAGAGCATGTGGGGGAGGGTAAAGTACAAACATATGTTTAAAATAGAAGAGCCAAATATACAAATAATGAGATTTTCTGTCTATTCCAGTCGGATTCCTGTGGATTCCGGTCAGATTCCTCCGGAATTCCTGGAATCCTCTGGAATTCCTGGATTCCGTCCGGAATTACTGGATTCTGGCCGGAATCCACAGAATCCGGTAGGAATCAGTGGAGGAATGGAAAGTATTGGCCAGATCCAGAGCTAAGAAGTTTATGATAGTACAATAAATATATGAATATATATAATGACCAACCTTTGATCTTTGGCTTTGCTTTCTCAAGCTGAGTGGTGGATGTCACCCTCTCTTGATCAGGTGAAGCCATAGGAATGTCGGTATCCACTTCTCTCTGAGGCACAATGGACTTGGTAGGCATAGTACAGTGACGACCTACTGGTGGACCTATCTTGATGGTGGAGTAATCAGGAGAGGGGGATGAACTTTCTACATTGTCACTGTTACTATTACTGTGGTCACTGAACAGGAGAGGGATGAACTTTCTTCATTATCACTGCTGCTATTTCTCTGGTCACTGAAGTCTTCACTGTCCTTGCTCATGCCTGACTTTCCTTTGGTGATAGGCTCATGCTCTTGTTGCACACAACTGCTTGAGATAGATGGAGCTGGAGGAAGGTAGGAGGAGGTAAGGGACTGAGCATGATGCTCTGGAGGTGCAACAGTAGTCCCCTCCTCCTCCAATTTCTTCTCAACACTGTGATGAAGGTAGAAGTTTCATCAAGAGGCAAGCAGAGAAAGAACTCATGGTGTCAGCTTCTTTGGCATCCTCAGCATCATCCTCTACTGCACGTTCAGCATGAGTTTTCCTATGAAATAGAGGGGGAATAATGAGGAGAGTCAGCAAGGGACATGCCAATGGGCAGAAGGCACCTAATAGTAATGATGTACCTGGTTTTCCCCTTTCCTCCCCTCTTTCCACCTTTTCCTCGTGATGGAGCAGCCTTAGCCTTTCCACCTCGCCCTCTCCCTCGTGCTGCTCTGCCCAGCTCCCCAGACATGTCATCACCACCAGTGGTGTTGTCAATGGCTTCGTTGTCAGTGTTGGTGTTGGTGTTGTTGTTGTCCTTCTTTTTTCGCTTGCTTGCCCCCTCATCTGCATTGGATTGGAATCGTTTCTGACCTTTCTTGGGTTTGGGTGACTTGACAGGTGATGGTGCGCTATCTGGCTCAGATTCATGATCAGGTGCTGTGGTGGTGGTCCTTCGTGCAGAGCAACATGGCTGGGAGGTTGGAGCTGACATGGTGGAAGAGGGGAAGCAAGAATGGGAGAGGGAATGTGGTGGGAGGGAAGAATGAACAACTCTCCCACACAGACATGTCATGACTGGTAGCTACCACTTACATCATGTACTCCTGAGCTGTACCATAGAAGTTCCTGCTTAGCTACCGTGAATGAAATGAAATGAATTTTCATTCATTCACAGCACCTGTTTCATTCTAGATAATTTATTCTGTTTCATTCATTCCTGGCGACTGTTTCATTTTTTTCTTTCATTCCACCAGGGCAACTGTTTCATTCCTTGCTTCATTCTTCTCAGGTGCCTATTTCATTGTTAGAGCTGGGAAAATGATTATGTAATTGATACAAAACATTTAAGTGCCTTATTTGGCAACAGCATGCCTATCTCATTGTGTATTTGAGCCTCAAATGCAAAAGTACCCCCATATGGCCTCCCACACCACTGCAGTAGGGCACAACACATATCAGGCATAATTGTATATTATTTCCTTATTTAGATGTGTGTTAAAACATCGAAATTGTTGCCTGAAAGAATGAAACAAAAATGAAATAACTGCCTGGAAAGAATGAAATGAAAATTCCATGGCAATGAATGAATGAAAAAAATGAAACAGTTGCCAGGAATGAATGAAACGAAAGAATAAAGCAAAAAATGAAACAGTTGCCATGGTGGAATGAAATTAAAAAAATGAAAGAGTCGCCAGGCATGAATGAAACAGAATAAATTGCATTCTTGTCAGTAGAAATGAAGAAAAAATTGAGATGAAATGAAATGAAACAAAAAGTATTTCATTCTCGATGGCAATGAATGAGAATGACTTGGAATGAAACAGGTGCCGTGAATGAATGAAAATTCATTTCATTTCATTCACGGTAGTTAAGCAGGAACTTCTATGGTACATGCCAGGTTTTACATGATGTAAATGGCAGCTACTAGTGATGTCATGTCAGACATATAAGGCACCATACAAAGGGCATAATAAATTTTATTATATTACAATAAATTACAAAAAAATAATTTACGTGGGCAGTGAGGGCCATGCCTGGGTGGCGAGTGGATTTTCATGGGCGGGGCCATTGGTGTTGTGTGTGGGGCTTTTCGTTTGTGGGCGGTCGTCGTTGTTTGTGGGTGCTGGGTCATTTTTCATGGGTGTGAGGGCTTGTTTGCAGGTGATGTTCGTTGGCGGGCGGTGTGCGTTGTCAATGGGTGGTGTGTGTTGTCAATGGGTGTTGTTGTCCTCGGAGGGTGGGGGGTGTGCGAGCTGTTTTGCACGGGCGGTGGTCCCTGTTCATGTGCGTTGGTTCGTTTTTTGGGGGCACTAACAATGTTGGGGGGTGTGGTGATATTGGTGGTGGGCGGTGTGCATTGTTGATGGGTGTTGTCGAACTCAGAGGGCGGGGGGTAGATGCTGGGGGGTGTGTGAGCTGTTTCGCACAGGCAGTGGTCCTTGTTCGTGTGCTTTGGTTCGTTTTTTGGGGGCGCTAATCGTTGTTGGGGGGTGTGGTGATGTTTGTGGTGGGCGGTGTGCACTGTCGATGGGCACTGTCGTCCTCGGTGGGTCTGAACGAGGGTGTGATGTGGGGGGGGAGCTCACCATTTGTCATTGTCATCCGTGAATGGGCTTTGCTGTCTGTGGGTGGGGATCCATGGTCGTCTGTGGGTGTGGGTGCCGAGTTTTCTTCATGGGCGCTGGGCGCTTGTTCATGGGTGGTGTGTGCTTGTTTGTGGGCGGTGCATGCTCGTTTGTGGGCAGTGGGCATTGTTTGTGGGCGTTGTCATTGTTGGAGGGTGGGGGCTGGTGTCGTTGACGGGTTTTGGGCCTCATTTGTCGTTGGGTGCCAGCACGGTGTGGTACCTGTAAAGTAAGCTGTGGGGGGGTAATGGGATTGGGTACTCACCTGCATACCCCGAAAATAACCAGGTGACGTGTTGTCACATTGCCTGGACCTTCCCTGGGTTCGTTTGGTTGGTGACGTGGCATTGCTGCTTGGTTGTCAATGTGTCGTGTGGTGCTGTGGTTTTTGTTGGCCGTTGACAAGTGTGGTTGTGGTTGTGGTTGTCGATTTTGTTGTTGTTGTTGTTGTTACTGATGGCATCGTGGTGGTCGTGCACTGTTGCGTGGTGGTCGTGGTGATTGTGGTTGTGGAAGAGAGAGGTGATGTGACGTGTCACATATGATCAACAAACATGTGCACTGGATGCATCACATCACATGATGTATCCAAGCACATGCTCATGGGTCATGTGACTCATCAAATGAGTCATTCCTGGGACTAGTCCTGTCCAAAAATCCTCAGGAATGGACCCCCACAGGACTCAAAAAATTGGCTGGCACATCAGCCAATATAGAGTCCTGGTAATCCTCAGGAATCCTCAGGAATCCTCAGGAATCCTGCAGGAATCAGTGGGGGACAATAAAGACCTCAAAGAATAGGTTATATCCATTGTGAATTATTCCTCATTGAGTTCTGTTGATACACTAAGCAGTCTGATGTTTATTGTTTGAAGATAGGGGTGAAAGGATCAAGACCTTTGTTTTATTCGAACTACATTCTCCTGACCACATTTATCTGGCGCCTAAGATGTTCCCTTCCCCAGCATGCCCTTTTAAGAGAGAGTGTCTCTACTCTACATGTCGTGGCCAAACAGTCTGTGCTTTTCTTCCTGTTGGACAACTGTCCATGCTCAATGAACACTCAAGGTTCAGCTGGGAGTGGCTTCGTATGTGGGCTGCAATTCGCCACCCTGCAAACCTGCCACGGATCACTGAAACCCTCCTCTTTAGTTCAAAGGTACAATCTCGAATGGACGCCCCTCAAGGCCCATGTTCCAACGGTTGATGTCATGCAGCCACATGTGTCTAGTTTTTGCGGAATGTTGAGGACTCGGACTGAACCTTTTCACCTTCTGCGCAGAACTCTCACCCTTTTCCAAGGGCATCTTCGACACGTTGAGTTGCCATTCGATTTGGCAGACCCAGATATTGGCTCCTGCCATTGGGGGTAGGTCGCGCAATTGAGCCATGTGGTAGGCTTCAGGCAGTATTGGATTCTGAACTGGTTGTTGAGTAGGTCAGTGGTTGGAAATGGATGGGAAAGAGGGAGGAAGAGGGTACCTTGTCGTGCAAGTGCTAAATGCAGAATCAATAAGTTGAGGCTAATATTCTTGTATCACACCACAAATCTACATGAGTGTCGTTCAGCAGAAAGATCACACATATGTACATTTGGCCTAACGAACAGTGGATTAAATTTGAGAAATCCCTAAATGTCAGATTCACATTGCGGTTCTCATTGTACATGTTTTCGGCTGTTACTAGTTTACTGCTCATGCTGTTTCCTCCACTCCCTTGAATACCTCACCCGTTCCACAAGCTTCCCATGCCTCAGAACAACCTTTATCGGAATAATCTTTTCACTCCTCTTCCTCGTCACCTCCCTTGCGACGTTCATGAACTCTTTGATAAGATCATCCCACGTCCACTTCAGTCACCCACCTTGAACAAGCTATTAGCCTTGTAAAATGTAAGAATGTATCCAGGCTAATAGGTTGTGCGGCCATTTATTTTTCTTGCCTTGGGAGAAAATATAATATTGGATTGGGTAGAAAATGTTTGACCTTTAATATTGTGACCAGAAATTTTTGGGTAGATAAATTGTGTTCAAAAATATCCTAGTCAAGTGAAAGTGGTCAGAAATATTTGAAGGGGTTCAGACTGGTAAGAAATATTTGAAGTGTGTCAGACTGGTAAGAAATATTTGAGCCAAGTCAAACTGGCCAGAAATATTTGAGGTGTGCCAAAGTGGCAAGAAATGTTTCAGTGGTGTGACATCGCTCGGATATATTCTAAGCATGTCACACTGCTGAAAAATCTTTTAGCTTTGTCACATGGCTCAAACATATCCGACCAGTGTCACGGGGTATCTGGCGTCCCAGTTTCAGAAAAAAAACTTGGTTTTTCTGGTGCAGTTTTCTCAACAATTTATATTTATTGAAGTTACAATCCAAAATCATATATTTCAACACTTTGTAATGCATAACTCTTCTGAAGTGGTACTTATCACTATTTATATACACTTTCTTCCTATCAATAGTCAAAACAATGAGTCTCTATAGCTTTGTCGAAACTCATCAGATAAAGCTATCATCTCAACAGTCTCCAATAACTCTGTCTCTTCACCCTCTTCTTCATCACCCTCATCATCCTCATCATCTTCCTCCTCTTCATTGTCATCATCATATATCTCTCTTTCATTCTCAGCAACCATGGCAGTCATGTCCAACTTACGTGCCTCCATAAGATCTTCCAATGAGGGTCCCCATGAATCTGGCATAGGTTTGTGAGGATCAATCATACGTGTTTTGTCTTGCCAGTTGTTGCATAAGCATGCCAAGAATTCTGCACGCAAGACCATCTGATAGACTACTTCTTCACATTCATTCTTCTCTATAGCCATTGTTACGCATCTCCACTCCTCCATGAGCCAATCTTGCATGGCACTTCTCTCATATGATAGTCTCCTGTCTTCCTCATTACATCTATCCAACTCAAGCATGGATTTTATTCCCTTTCGGACATTTTCATCACCCAACCATTTGGGGATTTCTCCTCCAGGTGAAATATCAGTCTCATCTAGGCCCACATCTTGCCATATGTCATCATCAACATCTAACTTGAACAATCCTTCACTGGCAATAGGATGAGGTGCACGAGCACCATGTGGTGCTTGTTTCTTCTTAATCATAGCCTCCAATTCTCCACATAACTCATTGTATTTTCTTGCTAGCTGTTGAATACCAGGTTCCTTTCGTTTGATTTGAGACTCTGAGTGGTCTTGTAGTTTCTTATCTGCATGATGTCATTAGTGAGGTACAATAATCATAT